ACAACCCACGAACAGGCATCCATATTTCAAAACAAGAGCCATATTGGTGTCCCTCAGTTACTAGCACACCAATATGATTCTCATTACCTATACAAACTCTTCTCATTACCTATACAAACTTTTGAAAAACTCGGCAAATTCAACTGGCGTCACTCGGCAATTTGACCTTCGACACCCCCCCCAATCCATATCCCTTCGCAACGGCCCTGTTAATATGCATGTCTGAAGTAAATTCTAGACACTTGCATATATCAGGAGGAACGAAAGATTTCATCACTTAGAGGTTACTTTAAAATGAAGTTAAACAATGGCGCATACATTTTTAATGTAGGACAAAAGTGGTTTGATAGAAGAACAGGAACTGATGGCCTTATTGAAAGACATCATGGAGCGTGATGGAACGGTAAGATATTTATGAATTATGTAGAAAAATCACAAAATTTTGTGTCCAAAATTAGTTGGTGCGAAATTAAATTTGATGAGTTTGACGCTTAGGCAATATGCATTAACATCACCCGTGACAATGTTTCATCACCTAAGGCGAGATAACTATTCATTTAGGATGTGCCTGAAGTGGCACCTTCTTAGGATGTGAAACTTGAAATTGTAATAGAGATGTCATTTTGTACATTGAGATGGGATTCTTAAGTTCATAACATTCATGGTTTCTATTGATCTATTTTGACAACAATAGTTTTAGAGGTGCCCAAATCCAGGCTATGAAAATTGAACGGCATCTCAACCATCTGCATGTGGAAATACCATTAGTGTTTCCACTTTGCCAAATTGAAATTTACTGAATCTAACCAGAAACAGAATATTTTTTTGGCAACCAACTTTTTATTTTTTGTCATATCTTGTTGTCATGCATCCATGCTGCATATTAATTTGCTACCCAAAAATGACAGGCAAGGCCTGGTCGCATAGCATGAGAAAGGCTTATATTGCAAAACACTTATATTTATATACTATTTTTCTAACCCACAGAACCCCAGTCTGTCTGACTTGGAAAATTGCAAGGTTGAAATCCTGAAGATTGTTGACACAAACAAGGATGGGAAAGTCTCTCGAGATGAACTTTCTTTGTTGCTCTCGGCACAGTAGAGAACTTTACGATAGCTTTAAAAAGCAGTTTTAATATGCTTTCAGCGCACGGAAAATGTTTTCTTTGTTTAAGAATTTAGAATCTAGATCTATTTATTAAAAGTAGTCATTATACATGAGTATTTATTAATTATTTAATTTATTTATATTACCGTATATAATGAAAATAAGGGTATATAGTTATTACATATTATATCAAATTCACAGAAACTTTATGCTGGTCTGGTAATCTTGTCATAATGGTCTGATTGTATGTTTCAAATAATATGATATTGTCTTATTGAATATACAATAGTATCAAATGTTTGTGTTTTGAAATTTCTGTCCTAGGGGAATATAAAGGGTTCCGTAGATAACAGTTGTTTTACTTGTCATGTTGAACTTACTACAATTACCATAAGGCCTAAAAAAAATACCTGCACATGGTTCCGGTTCCCGACCGACCCTATTTTTTTCGGCCGACCCTATTATTTTTTCAACGTGATTGACCGTGCGACCCTATTTTCTCAGGGTGGTTGCGGGCTGCTGCAAAAATGGTGTCTGTTGTCACACTAATTATTGAAAAAACCATGAAAAAAATATTCAAAAAAAAAATTATTTCCGACCTATAGACCCTAATTTTTTCGCGATATGAAACCAGAACCACAGGTATTTTTTTTAGGCCTAACTTAATTTATACTTGATTGTCCATCACTTTTGCTCTCCCTAGAAGCCCCGATTACCCCACTGTATGCAACAATCTACCCAATTCTGGTTTTGAGTATGACATCATAATGCCAGTCAACAGAATGAAGTTGACATCTTCATTTCGGCAAATTTTTAATGATAATTTCCAACGTAACATGTTAATACTGCAACCAAAGTTTGTTAAAACCATTCATACAATATATGGCACATTAATTCACATACTATTTCATCACAGTAATGATCTGCTGGACACCTTTGCTGCTACTGTTTGTGCAACAGATTAAACATTTGATTTAGTTTGAGCATTTGTATATGCAATGTATATGATTTTTAAAGTGCATATTTTCTCAACAATCCATTTTAATAAAAAAATACAATACAGATAATTCTATCGATTCTGATTCTCTACCAATAAGGCAAATATCGGCCTGATTCTGAAACTGATTATCGGTCAATCACTACCAATAACTTTACATGAGAAACAGGTGTCCTAACAGGTTAAACTAGATAGCCGATTGCTGGCCATCCAAAACTGCCAGTCATTTAACAGCTGACATTTCTTATTATTATTCAAATCCGTCCTGGATCTGTTTGGTTTGACTTATTATCTTTTGACTTATTATTTTCTTTTAAACTGCTTTTCAAACTTGTTTGGACTTATCAAATGAAGTTGTTTATTAATTAAACATTCAACAGTTTTTCTTTAAAGGGAAGGGTTTGGGTCAGCATTATAGTTTATTCAATAGAAATTCAACTTTAACTATGCATGGTCACTATATTACCAGCAATTTACTCAATAACCAGCTGCCGGCTATCTAGTCACTTCAAAAAAGCATATTATTATTTAAATTCAAACTTCAAAGGCAAATTTTTATGATAACTTTGTGTCCTTGTATATTCAATGCTCTTTAAAGTCATAAAATATACAGTCACAACAAATTTTCAGTCACTTGCCAAAACATGAT